AAGTAAATATGTGAGTAAATTCAAGTGAACTACTGACTGTAAAAAATTATCATATTAAATTTTGTGATTTAAAAATATATATACACCAATGTGTGTTATGAAACTAAAACATGTCAACATAGCACATAAGGTGAGAGGGGTTTAAACTGATGTAACTGAAATCCTAGTGTTGTTTGGAAAGTGATAAAAGCACTAGTTGATGGTGCACTTTGAGGTCTCTAGAAGAATGTAAAATTAAAATAGCAAATAATCATGGAAAAACTGGAAAAATAAAACTGGATTAACCCAAAAGAAAGGAAGAAAGGAGAAAAAAAGTAATATAGAACAGGTGGGCCAAATATAAATCAAAGCGTAAAGAGCTATAACTTCAAATATGTCAGGAATTACATTTAATATAAATGGACTAAATATACCAACAAAAACTCAGTGATCTCCAGATTGAATTTAAGAAATAAAGAGAGAGTTCTTAAACATAAAGACACAGAAAGTTTGAAAGTAAAGAATAGAAAAACATATTCCATGCAAACACTAACCAAAAGAAAGCTGGTATAGCCATACACTCCTGTCATCAGAGAATGTAGACTTATAGGCAAGAGGCATATTAGAGAGAAATAACAATATTTCATAATGATAAAACAATCAATTTTTAAAGAAGATAAAACAATTCCCAATCAATACTCACTTAATGAAATAGCTTTGAACCACGTAAAGCAGGTGTCTCTCTTCCTTGCAGTGAAACAAGATAGTTCAGGCGTGTTCATCTTGCGGTAGCAGTGCACGTGGAGGAGAGCAGTGGGAAAAAGCAAGGCCCTCGAGGCGTGATGCTGGGACTGGTGCGCCGTCGGTTCTGCCATCATTAGCCAAAGCAGGACGTGGGGCCAACTCGAACATCCGGGGCAGAGAAGCCCAAGCCTCACAGTGAGGCCTTGGCAAGGGGGCTGCAGAATAGGCTCCAGGGACGCAAACTACCACGACGTGCACGTATCAAAGTGCTGGAAAAATCAAAGGACCCGTAGAAAGGGAGGAACCCACCGAGGCAACACAGAACTTAGACTATCTCATGAGTTATGAAAATTTTCCATGCCCCAAACTCTAATCAAGCACAAGTAAAATTTTAGAAGGGAGATAACAGAATGTGCTTATTTTCTCCAGTCACCATTTATTTTGTTTAACTGGGAACCTCCACTTGCCTTCTGCTGTTCCTATAGAGAACAACATAGCTGTAAGTTAATCCAATTGGCAGTGAAACTGCCAATATTCAACTGTATTTGATCTGCAAACCTGGCAAATATATGTTCAACCTAATCACAAGTGAAGCTAGAACAGTGACTAAGAAAAGGACTGATTGGTAATAGCACAGCTAAATGAGAGTCTGAATGGCATGTAGCACTATTTGAAGACTAAGTTATAAGAAAACGTAACAGAATAGGTGACTAGAAAATGAATCATGCATAATAAAAATGATTTTCATTTGGGATATCATAAAAGAGTTCTTCATGAGAAAGACACTTTGGAATTCTATTAATTATCTGAGCTATACTCTAAATATTAAAGTTTAAAAACAAGAGTCCTCCCCTCCCAGACCCCCACGTGCCCCCAAATTTTCCACCATTAAGGGAGAGAAAAGCTGTGAACCAAGCTCTTCTTGGTTATTTATGAAGTCAACCTTGAACACTGACCTTTCTCTTTTATTCTTCAGCAGTTATTGCCCACAAGTTACTAATGAACAGAAGCCCAATCCTAATTTAACAGAAATTGGAATCAGACAAAAGCACGTTAGAGCATTATCTAATGAAAACAGTATAGCTCTGGCACCGAGTAGAACGCGGGCCCTGAAAACCTGCGTTCCTGGGTTGGGGATTAAAAGGATGGAAAGGACACCAAGCACTTGAGAAAACAGCAGGAGAAGGACTGCTCTATTTTTTGCATTAATATAAAAGGAAGCAGAGTGATTTAAAGAACTCTGAAATTGAGAAAAAATAAAATTGTCACAGTAAAAAAGAGAAAGACACAGAATCCAATACTGACTGTTTAAACACATGGACACTATGGTTTGATACTGACCCTCTGAAAGTAGCAAAGAAGTCGCTGCCATCAATCGCTGTCTCAATCTATCAGAACAGGTGTCCATATAATTACCCTTTATAAAACTTTTGTGGGTATCACCCATCAAGCACATGGAATTGGTAGTCAGAGGACGTGAGTACTCTCCCTGTCTCTGATACTTGTCTGTAGTTTTTACACTGAAGTCTCTTAAATGGGGCTTCTCAGTTTGCTTATTTGGAATATTTGGCTACCAATATCTGCCTTTCCGACTGCACAAATATATCAAATATCAAGTGGAATCATGGAAATACAACTGGAAAGTCTTATATTTGCTATTATTACTGGAGATATTACTGGTTTTTAATAAAAAATCTATAAACATTTAATTTGTAACACACTTGCTTTACGTATATTGTTAGTATAAATGTAAAATAAATATCTGAAATTTGGATTAATTCATTATTCAGTTTTCATTATTTTCTATCAGAGTTTTTTTCTGAATTGCTCATTCATTCTTTCATTCATTCAACATAGAGCGATTGTGCACTCAGTATGTTCCCGCCACTGTACTAGGTGCTGGTGCTATAGCCGTAAATATCTTTCCCACCTCGTGTACCCTGAAATCCAATGAGGAGGAAAGAAATTAGACCACTAACAGGACAGATATAGATACATTTACCAAAAGTGACTGGAGCACATGAAGTCAGACTGTGGACTTCCATGAGAATTCATAATGAGAAACCAAATTTAGACTGAGGGCCTGGGAAACGCCATTTAAACTAAGATCTGAGAGATGAGAAGCCAATAACGCTGAAAGCACAGGGAAGGAGCATTTCAAGCAGGGGAACTGCAGGTGCAGAGGCTCTGAGCCTGTAGGAAGCTTGGTGCAGTCAAGAGCGGACAGGTAGCAGGTGATGCGGGGGATGGCGGCAAGAGGTGAGATCGGAGAATTATTCAGGGACGAGGTCACTCAGGCCTTGCTGGGAGTCTGAACATTAATTTAGCAGCAAAGGAAAGGCTCTGAAAGTATTGAACAGGGACATAATTCTATCAGATCTGCGTTTTCAAAAGGTAACTTGAGCTGCGCTGTGGAGAATATAATGTAGTCAGCTATGAGTAGAGACAGAATGACCTAAAATTGGAAAGCAATTTTAGTGATCTGGGTGACACCAGGGTTGGATTAAGTTGGTGAGTAGAGCTAGAGAGAACTGAAATCATATTAATACAAAGTATGATTTGTGGGTAGAGCACAGAATTCCGAGATTCATTGGACATGGAGGGCAGATGAGCCATGGACTCAGGTTCTGGCATAAGAACCTGGGTGTCCCCTTCTTACTCTTGAGAGATGCCACTGAAGGCCCAGACGGCATTAGAGCAGAAGAAATTTATTTTTCAGTCTCAGGGCTCTGGGAAACCAACCTACTGTCTTCAGCATGTCTTCAAGCGTCTTTGGAGAATTGACTTTGCGTCACTTTGGGAATCGATCTGAGTACAGTACATAATAAAGACTGGCGAGGCCAAGGCCGGAGACGAGTAGCACATTTAGGAGGCTGGCGCTTAATGTAGGGTAACCTGGAGGCAGATGGACAGATTCGCAACCTAGTTAGAAGGCAGAGTCAGGTTTGAGTCAATGGGTGGCTATTGGTAACACTTCATGAGGTAGAACACAATGGAAAAGGAGCAGATATTTCCCAGAGGAGAAGAGAGGATAATCCCGTCTCAGAGCGTTGTGTTTTAAGTGCTCACAGGCCCAGTGTGGAGAGGTGACCCATGGAGGTGGTACCACAAGCTGAAGCTCCTCAGATCTGGGTTGAGCATATAGAGTTGGAAGTTATTGGGCAGTGTGTAAGTGCTACTGCAAAGAGTGCATGCGGATAAAGGCTCAGAGAGAGCTTGGGAGTAGGATAAGAGGCCTAGAACCAACCTGCAGGCAGTGTTAACCTCCAGGGGATGGCACGAAAGAGAGGAGCACGGGAAGACGCCTGGGAACCAGGAGAACACGGCAGTGTCAAGAAGGGCCTGTGGCCACCTGTGCAGGTGAGCAGGGTTCTGGGAGCACCCCACACCCACACCCCACTCTAGATGTGGAAGTGAAGAAAACGCATATGCTAAGCCAGGAATCTGTGGAAACACACAATGTTTGAAGGAGTAATGAGAATATCATTGTAAATGGAGTGTAGAAAAGTAGATAAAATAAAACTCGGAAGAGATGCCACCTGTAAGTGACATCATATGCCATGATAAGCAAAGTTTGAGAATATAAAAAGGGCAGTGGAAAAACAAATCAAAATGCTAAAACCTTCATTAATAACGTAAACCATAAAGTATTATATTACTGTCAACAATAAGAATAAAATCACTGCACTTGAACAATTATTCTTCTAAAGAAAAAGTGACAATGTAGAGATCCATTCTTTCTAAAGAATTACTTTAAGTTGGTTAGTAGTGGTGATATATTATTTGTCTGCATGTTCGCCTTTTCTTTTTCTTTTTCTTTTTTTCCCAACATTCCCTTACGCCCAACAGCATGTGTTTACAGAAGCTCACAGTTCTAGCAGATTCCACAACAGCTGAACTGCTCAGTGGCCCTCTCCGGGACCAGGCATGGAGCTTTGATCTTCTGGGTACCGACCTCCAGCCCAAGGAACTGGAGTAGTGTCTCCTCATGAAGGAACATCGAGCTAATGGCAAATCGCCATCAAAGAGCATGTTCTGCTTTGAAGTCAGCAAACCTAAAGTTGTTTCAGAGTAATGAGAGGAGAAGCTAATTTCATAGCATTAAAGAGAAATTCTAAGTATCAGACACCTTAGCCACTGAAACGCAGAGCCCAGTGACAGATCCCAGAGAGCGCGGTGGTGGGAGGAAGAGAACGATGGAGGGAGAGGAGTTTGATGGTGAAGCGGCACCGTTACATTCAGCCCCATGGAAATGCAAACACTGGGAAATGGAGGCAGAGCTGGGGAATCAGCGGGGCTGTACAGGGGCGAAGGAATTGAGTGGAAAGAACAGTACCTGAGACCACAGTAGTGGTCAGAGATGCTGCATAGATGGCAGATACTATGACTACACTTTAGAAAATTAATGTTTGGCAAAGCTAAAGCTGTGACCAAGCGGAGAACAGGGGTGGCTGTGTGTAAATGGTGTGAGAGGAAGGTCCAACCTGACCCAGATCTAAGCCACTTAAGACATTTCCATCCAGTCTATTCTTTGAATTGTTCTCCAGTTCCATACAGGAGTATTTTAAGTTTTGTTCCATTTAGACAATAATTTAAGGCATTTTGATAATAATGTAAAGAAATAATACAAGTAGGTTCTGGATCATCAAATGACAACTGTATGTGTGCTCCATACAATTTCATCACCTGCTCTTTGTGCTTGTGTTATACGCATGTCAGCTCCATTCTTTCTACTTTTATTACAACCGACTTAATACATAAACATGAGTTCCCACCACGTGAAGGGAAGTGAAGCGCAGCCGGCTGTACTGTGGGCGTCATGGTCACGTTAGCAGAGAAAAGCAGGAAGAACTGAGTCATCGTGAGCAATGAGCCCCAGCATCACTTAGCATTCCCACACTGAGCGTCATCTCAGCTTCAGAAAAGCAGCCCCTGTTGTCAGTTTGAACTGTATCAGGTGTATGAGAGACCTACTATGCTGCAAGTACTTTGCTAAACTCTGGGAATCTAAAGACAGATGTGTTTCAGTTGAGGTCCATCTCTAAATTCAGCTATAGAATAACTAAAGTCCACATTTTCATTGGTAGACCCAAAAAGCTTTCCATTAAAAATTAGTTCTACTTGCACAATTATTTAAAAAGCCAGAACAAGTCAAGTTCAACATCTCATGCCAGCGTTGGCTTTTACAACATCTCAGGCCAACAGTGATTTCCCACGGGAAATAAGCACCACTTACTGTATGCACAGCCGTACACTTCGATCCGCATCCCAATCCTGCCCTTAGGGCTCCAGGCTAAAGGGAGGAAGCGCAGGAACCTGGCTTCGAAGGGAGGCTGGAGTCTATAGTGCACCACGCTGTCTGCATTTGTGTTTCCTGGAAATCCCTGGGAGAGAACAGAGAAAGGGATCAATGTGTCTGCAGAATATAATCTTTATGTCATTAGCTCTGATGCCAATGAGCGATGTATGCTCACTTTGTCACTGTGCAAAGAGCTATCTTCTCAAAAAAAACATGCTAATGTTTAACAAGGATGTGAGGACCTTTCTCGGTCCTGGATTAGTCGCCATTGTCTAAGTTTTCTTTATTTACAGGGTATTTTCAATTTCATCGGCACCATTAAAATGTCTACAAACATGACGACCTCCATGAAGTTTGCTTTTCTAAAGTGTTCGCCCTGCAAATCCCCCCTCGTCTGCCAGTAGTGAGGATGCTCACGTGAAACCCCAGCATCATCCAGCAGGGTGATCGAGCACGGTGGTCACGTGCACAGGACCTCCAGTAAGGAGCCTGGATCTGGAACTAGAGAGCTGGCAGGGACCCAGACATAATTCCAGCCCTGTGTCCTTAGTTTACAAATGAGAAACTACAGTCCAGGGAGAAGAAAGACTTTCTGGAGGTAGGACCGCCATCCTGCACTGTGGCACGACTACGTCTGGCTTGTGTTTCAGTCTCGGTGGTCACCGCCTGTTCTCAGGCCGAATCCCCTTCACAGAGAACACGGCTCCGTGCACGACTCATTCACTGCTGTCCCCAGGAACCCAAGTTCCTACGGCAGCTTCTGGGCGGGCCCGAGAGGAACACGCTGCCATTATCTGCTCCAGGACAAGGGGGAGCGCTTGGGCTCAGTCTCACCGTCTGGACATCAGGAAGGGTGAGTGAGAAGAAACAAAGTTTCTTTGAATAATTTATGTCTCTGTTTTCAGATTTTTAAAAATATAGAATGTAGCTCGTGCAGGAAGAAGAAAAGCGTCGACGCTCCTGTACATACCAATTTATGTTTGGTCATTTGCCAATGACTTGTTCGATGCATAAGGTAGAAATTATAATCATGACCATTCACAGGGAAGTGAAAACTCAGAAAAGTTAACACTGAACACCCAGAGAGTCTGTTCCACACAGTCCTTCTGCTGTCCAGCTTTGCAAAGCTCCTTTTCCCAGTGTTTCCCAAAGTCGTCTGTGGATTTTATGTGAAAGAGAAAGTGCGTGGGCAGGATGAGGGGTTCACGGAGCAACAGCTTGCCTGTGGATGAAGATTTAAATCAGACTTCTTACAGTTGATCCTGCAACTAAAGCGACATTACAGAGAAAGTCAGAGACTCTTTTATTTTAGAATAATGAAATTAGGAGTGAAAAGTATACTTTCTGATACTCTTGCACTAGAATGAGTGTCCCCTAGGGTGCCTGGGGCAGGTAGTTCACCTAAATGTGCGGTGAAGCCTGTTAGTTCAACTAAGAACCTGAATGTTACCTGCCTAATTATTTTTGCTTTATTAAAGAATGTGTCAGGCTTAACAACAAAACAAACTGAGTAAAGATCAGTCTGTTTAGTCCCAGACCACCGGTGGGCCTCCCTTGGTATAAATAAATGGAAATAAAAACACAGAAAATGTCTTAGTGAATGTGGTCAGTTTTAATGCTAGTGTGTAAGTCAGTCTTGGTGATAGTTCATCTACTGCTAGTTAATGTCAATTCTGAGGTACTTAATCATTTTATTCTTATTCAACTAAAGTGCCATCTACGTCAACATCACTTTTCAAGAATTAACAATCACTATGCCTGTCAGGCTGAACCCAGAGGCTGGTGGGAGGCTCCTTGGAAATTTTCCCTTTAAATGGGCCCCACCCCTTTGAGAGGCCGCCCAAACCCAAGTATAAAAGCCCTAGATGCCCGCCATGTCAGCCCGTCTGTATGCAGATGTTAAAATAAACTTCTTTTCACGTATCCGGCCCTGTGTGTTCCTCCCTTGGCGTTTCTAACATTGCCAACTTCAGGTGAAATATTTGCATCCCTTTTGCACCCCAAAGGGGAAATTAAGAATGTCCACCCAGAACCTTTCATCTGGACACCTGAGGCTGACCTGGGTAAAAGAAGCATGTCCCAGCTCCACCCCTTCAAATTTCGTGGTCTTAGGCTGTTACTCTCTGCTGCAAGCTGCAGTTTCTTCATCTATAGAACCTAAAACCGAAGGTTGGAGTAATGATTGAGACAATACACGGAAAGCTTCTGCCCATCACCTGCCTAGAGGTGGCTCCTGTGATTGTGACCGAAGCTGATGATGTTTTGGTTCTTGTTGGCATGGTTGGCAGAGACGGTTCTTCCACCAGACTCTGAATCCCATTACATAGGTTCTAACTCGGGTTTAATATCTGAGACAAACAGCTAAACAACTAACCTGGGAACATCAGCTCCTGTGGGCATTTTGACTTCAACATTAAAATTCAGATTGAAGAATTAAAATCCATTTTTTCTGTAGCTGACAAAATTATTTAAACCTCAGTACAAATAACATAATAACAATCTTTCAAAGAAACCCATTGGTCAAATCTAGCACTCACAGGACAGAGTCAGCGATGGTGCTCATGTGATATCCTGGTTTTCTGAATAATGTTAAACGCATGGATACTCTTGGTTGATTATTAAATACTCAGATAAACAGCCATAAGCAGAAAATTTCCTTCAACATAAGATTCTTTGACAATTATTTTTAAGAAGGCTCATAGATTTGTCATTATGAAACATTTCTGTCTTAATGGATTTTAATCCTCAAATCTTTATTTTAAATTATGAGTTATAGAAATCAGTCTGAATTTTACAGAAACTATTAAGTCTCTACCATATGTCACCACTGCACTGTGCAGTTTCATAGGTTATTCCAGCAGCATGCTGGTTCCTGTGGCTGTGGAAGGCTTGTGCTATGTTTTAGAGTCTCCTGTATGTGGCCCATCACGTGATGGAGAACATGGGCTGCAAAGTCAGAGACTCGCCTCTGAGTCCAAGTCCCCACACTTACTGGCTCTGTGACTGCAGGCAAGTTACGCAACCACGAGAAGCACCAGCTTTCTCCTCTGAACAGTGGATCAGTGATAGCCAAGAGTCACGAGATTCTCACACGTCTCTTAAGCGCTTAGCATAGGACCAGCATATGGTGAATAATCAACAGCAAACACCGCTTACAATCACCTACCGCTATTACCACGCTAATGAGATTTCCTCCTGCTTAGCCTGACACTACCGCTCCTGAAAAGCAGGGACGAGTCTGCGCGCTTTCCCCCCGGTTCTCACATTGACTCATCTCAAGCTCTTAGGTCTGCAGCCCCTCACAGGCAGGTGACATTAGGCAAGAATGGTACTATTTTTGTCTCCGTTATTTTCAGAGGATTATAGATAATGGTATCGCATGCAAACTTGCTTCTTATTTGAATCAGTATCTATAATTGGCTATGTGAACACTTGTACTTAATTATTTTAAAGTAAGCACTAGAATTCATTATTTTAATTAATATTTTACTAGCCACTAGAGTATATTAATGTTTATTAACATAAATAAAATGAGAACAATGTGACTTCACCTTATTCTAATATTATTAAATGAACTGAACTAGGAATTAAGAAATGTGGGCTGTGGTGCGGGTTTTTCCCTTAATTAGCTGTGAGAGCCAGGGTAAGTCACCTGAGGGCTCAGTAGATCTGGAGGCATAGTATAAAGTGCTGCGGAATCTCAGATTCTCTCCAGCGCTAAAAGGTCATGGCCTGAAATTGTGGGTTTATTTCAGGTGTACACAAAATAATTATTACAGAGAAAATGAATGAATAATCAGTGATAAAATATGTATGTGTATACAAACATTTGCATATGTTTAATTAATGAAATATATAATTGTTAAAAAAAATGAAACACTGAGAATACATTTGAATATCATTTGATACGTGAACATCCCAATTTTTATAAAATAAAAATGAATTAATTTACCATATTTGAATCATAAGTCAAAAAAACAAAGTATAGCTCATGTTAAAAAAGACAACTCAGATAAATGCTTCCTCATGTTTGCTCACTATGGGCAACTTTGAGGAAACGATCATTCGGAAACATGAGGCATCCAAGATATGAATCCAGGTTATCCGAAATGTCATTTAAAAAATAATTTGGATAGAGAAGAACAGAACTAGCCGTTTGGTCCTTTGTCTATATTAAATATATCTAAATATATTAAACAGTTTAATAGGGTTTCTGAGATATTGCTATTGACTTTAAGTGATTACATTCATTAAATGTTAAAATACCTTTTTAAAAAGCAGATAATTCATCTAACTTGTCATTTTACTTGGACCTGGGACAAATTCGCTGTGTAAGACTGACGATAAGTCTTCTTGCTCTCGATTTCCCTATTATGATTGTAAGCCTTGGTGCTTTCAAAGTTCAGGGTATACTGGTGCCATCTCTGGTTTCTCAGAGACTTTCAGCGATCAGCCTGCTTCTAGCAGATAGTAGGCATTGTTGCAAAATCAGGAATTCTTCAAGGGTAATAAACGTCTGCTGTGTTGAATTTTACGCTAGGGTCCCCAAGACTCACACCCCTTTCTTAACCCTCACAATCTTTACCAGTGGTTAACACAAAGCTGGTGCCAGGTGAGCACTGGTGAATTGGCTCAATTGTCAGAGTCAGTCTTCCTAGGACAGGCAGTCGTTGGTTATGGATGACCCAAATTAGCAGGGCTCCCAAGGCTCCCCATGAGGATAATTTATAATTAAATAATTAAATTAATAATTCGGGAATTAGTTTCTTCCGAGCATGTAAACAAACCCTTATGGCTTACGCAGTTGGTGCAGCATCTTTATGCTAGCAGCTGGTCTCATTGTTTATATGGTCACTTACACACAGTATCACTTTCGTCTTGACTTTTTTATTTGATTTAGTGAGTCTGTGCTTACCCTTATGACCATGCAAAGGTCCACTCCAAGTCCAGGTACTTGGCACGTGGCTTTCGGTCACTGGGTACAGCTTAGAGGTGCCTCCTGTTAGTCCGCTCCCTCCCCAACCTTGTGGGGGCAACGCGAAGGCTGCAGCCACAAAGCTGAGTCCTGTGCTGACCTGGTGTTGT